AAAAAAAAGAATTTTAGAAGAAAAGGAATTGAAAGCTAAGCAGAGAATCGAGAAAAAAAATATCAAAGAAAAACTTGCCAAGGAAAAGAAGGGTAAAACAAAATCTAAAAAACCAAAGATGCCTGAAATATCATCATCTGAAGATACAGAAGCTGAAATAGAATATATTGAAAGTGGCGAAAGCGAATGGAACGAAGAGACTGAATCAAATACCTATCAAGGAGAAATACTGGAAAAACAAAATGAACGTAAAGCAATGGATAAAAAAGAAGATTTCAGTACAAAGGAAGAGAAAACGATCTATTACGGAAGATAGTAATTCTGAATCAGAGTTGCCTTTGACTCAAATAGCACATTCTAATAAAGTTAAAAATGCTAAAAAGGATATCAACAAGGGTTCTTTTGTCATCATTATGTATGAGGGTGAATATTTCCCCGGAAAGATTGAAAATAAGGAACGAGGTCTCTTTGAAATAAGTACAATGGTACTTTCTAATGGGAACACTTTTAGGTGGCCAGAAAGGCCAGATAAAATTTGGTATAAAACTACTGATATAGTCGAAGTTATAAATCCTCCTATCAAACATAATAACAGAGGCTTTTACAAAGTACCAGAAATGGAGAAGTTTTTGCCTGACATTTATATGACCTAGATTTTAAGACTGTGGATTTAAAGATTTTTATTTCATTTATTTTTTAGTCTATTGTTTGATGGGAATTTTGCCTAACATATAAATGTCCTGGATTTTGAGACTTATTAGAATAAGATTTTTCTATTTATATTTAGTGTATATTTTTTTAACCCGTTTTTCTAATTAATGGGTAAAACAGGGTTAAATTTCATCTCTCAAGTTGTGATTATTAAATAAGGTGGTTATTATAAAGAAAAAGAATAAAGACTGTGTAGTATGTAAGAGTAGACACCTAAGTTGTTAACTGCTCTTTTGAGACTTCTATTTACAAGAATACCTCAAGCTTTTTTTGACCCTAATAAGTAAAATGTTTCTGCTGTAGTTGCTTTAACTTGATTTGTTATTTTGATTTGTGATAAATAAATAATAGTACTTTTTAATTTGCAAAACTGTTTTTTATAAAGTTGAGGTTTCCTTCTTATATTTGTTAATAAACTTTAAAATTTTTCAAAGAATTTCATTTTAAACTGGTGAATTTAATAACCTTCCAACATTGGGTGTCCATCATGGGATACATGTCCAACATTGAGTATCCATCACTGGAGAAGTGCCGTCCATAAATGGAGTTTTTGTGCCTTTTTGAGTTTTTCTTTATTTCATCAGAAACAATAACACTATATAAATTATATATGTACGTGTAATAAAGCATGTTTATTGGTCTACAATTTGATAATAGACAATTTGGTAATAACACTATATAAATTATATATGTACGTGTAATAAAGCATGTTTATTGGTCTACAATTTGATAATAGTCATAACATTGTATCTTTGCAAATAGATGAATAGTGATTAAAAATGTAAGACCAAATTCTTAAACTGTCCATAATTGGTGCCTTCACGTTAAGTCTCTTCTTAACAGCGTCAATACTTTGGTGTCTTGAAATTAGGTTCGTCGCCTAACTGTGGAGCCTTTCTCTTCTGTATTATATTCTGGATCTATAAAATGAAAAATCATTCAATTAATTAATTTTATTTTGGTGTAAGTTTATTTCCGCAGTTGTAAAGCAGCTGTGAAAATAAAGTTTATACGAAATGTTTTTGTATTTTAAATATATTTCATAGTTTACACTAGATGATCATTTACCAAACAAATATTTAACGTATATTAGAAAATGACTATCGTTACAGCCTATTAAAGTCCACTGCTGAACATCCCTCCCTCGTAGATTGCCTCATAAGAGAAACTTGCCATAGTTCACACGCTTGGCAAGCGGGTTGGCAACCGCAGTTTTTTTTTAAACATTATTAAAAAGACACTGCTACTCATCTCCTGACTTGTTTCCCTCTGTCGCATTTTACAACACTCAAGGATATGGAGTAGTGGATATTCTTACACCGTCACTACACGGTAAAAATTAATCACTACAAGATTATATTTAACGTAATTATCTTCTTTTTCTTTGCCTTATAACCCTGTAAGTCTAATGCTGTGCTTGTAACGCTTAACAGATGAATTGGTGATGAAAAAACCAGACTTTCGCAATTTTAACGCTACAACCAGGTATTTTAAATCTAGGTGTATACGAGACAGTTGCACTGTTATCTATCGGAGCCATGAGATTTTTTTTTTGTATATTTTCCATAGTCCTCTCTCACGACACCCAGGATGATGGATGGAATTTAAAACGCCGCCATTACACGGCAAATCAACAGCTCAGGATATATTTTAATGCTTCATACCTGCGTACACGAACTTTGCGTTGCCACCAAAATGGTTACTTTGTATTATATATTGCGTAATGTTTTATGAGACGTATGCTAATTTGCTATTATCTCCCATAGTCGCCGACATATTTATGGAGGACTTCGAGGAGAAAGCCCTTCTTACTGTTCCTGTAAATCCAAGATTCTTCTACAAGCGGACACCTTCACAATTTTACCATCTGACAAAGTAACTGCATTTTTAAACCACCTTAACTCTATAAACTCTAAAATACAATTCACAATGGAGTTAGAGGCAAATAATTCTTTAGCTTTCCTAGATGTTTTAGTCATTCGAAATCCTGATAACACTATTGGTCACACTGTATATAGAAAAAAGACCCATACCAACCGATATTTAAATGGCGAATCTCACCATCATCCTTCACAGTTAGCTACCGTGGGTAAATCTTTGTTTCAGAGAGCACGAGGGATCTGTGACAGAAAACATCTGGCCGCCGAGCTGCAGCATGTCAAGCAAGTGTTGCAAGACAACAAGCTTCGGGTCCCGCGCCTACGTCACAGTGAACGAGTGAAGCCGACCACAGTCGAGCGTGTGCCTGCTATACTACCATATGTCAGAGGAGTCACAGACAAGGTTGGCTACATATAGAAGCGAGCTTCCATTAAAACATACTACAAGCCACCGAAGAAGATTAGTCAATTTTTACCATCCGTCAAGTGTAATATCCCTCTACAAGATGCAGGAGTGTACAAGTTAGATTGTGAATGTGGTCTCTCTTACATAGGTCAAACAAAAAGATCCATAAAAACCCGAATCCATAAAAGAACATATAGCTGACGTGAAGCACCGACGCTCCGGGAAGTCTGCAGTCTGTGAACATGTTCAAGATCGTCCCCACCATTACATCAGATTTGATAAACCACAAATCCTCGCAAATGAACACCGATTCCTACCAAGGATGATACGCAAGGCTATTGAAATTAAAAAACATCCTAATTTCAATAGAGAAGATGGTTGGGTGCTGCCATCTGCTTGGGATCCTATAATTAACAAAATTTACCACACAACCAACTACTTCTACAAGCATACCACTGCAAGACTTCAAGATACTGTAAGTTCGTTTTGCGTAAATCGGACCAAAAATTAATATTCAAAAACTGAAGGTAGCCGGGCTAACAATGACATTGGGACGTCAAACATCTCAGTCCCCCCCCCCCGTGAAACGTCGGTTAAAAGTAATCAGTTAAATAAACGCGATAGAATCCGTAAATTTAGTTTTATTCAATGAATATGTTTCATCTTGATAATAATATCATGTAATATTATCTAATTAAAATTAAAAAACAGTTTTATAAATTTTAATTTGATGCTAATCCCTTTTCTGTCAATACGATTTTAATTTGTTCGTTATAGTAATCGAAAATCAATATCGTCAAGTATCGACTATAGCGGAACTTTACTAGTACTTAATTATCAATAATTAAGTACTAGTAAAAGTAGTAGCAGTTGACAGATGTCAACATCTGTCAAATGGGACTTCGTAATTGGAATAGAATATAGTATAGTATTTTATTATAAAATTGTAATGAAAGTTTTTGTGCGAATATAATTTATCTTTTTACGTAAATAATTTCGAGTAATATATATTAAAACAATTGAAATTCACGCATACATGTGATTTTCACGCTGCCGATATTCGCTTGATATGTTTTTTTGTTATCAAAATAAAATAAAATCTTTTTGTAATGAAGTAAAACGTGACTTTTGTTTAGACCACAAGATAAAGAATTTTGTATAGATTTTATAACGCTAAACTTCTTCATAGAAAAGTAGTCTCTAAATATAAGTTTTAATGGTTTTAAGTGCTGTGGGTGGGATTTGCCGGGCGCATGCAAGTGCATGGGATTTTTATGGCGCTTGAAGGGTTACGATTACAGAGGGAAATAAACTAGGATATGTGCAGCAGCCTCGTCCTAATAACGCATAAAAAAACTGTGAATGACGACTCGCTTGTCAGGTGTGGCCTAATTATCAGGGGATATATGAGGACCACAACCGTACAATGGGTTCTCCTGTAGTAGGGACAATATGCTTTCATCGTTATGCTTAACAGGTGGATTGATGGTAGCAGTACATATCTTTAACGCTGCTGTCGGTTGCCGGTTTGGCTATTTTACATGGGTATTTAAAGTTGTTCTTACAAAACTTTCTCTATCTGTACTTATGGGGGAGGGCTATGTTCACCAGTGAACTTTTATGGGCTGTAACTGTAAGTATAAACAAGTAAAATTTAAAAAAAATAGCAGCTCCGATTAGGAGCTTCATTCAAAATTTCAAGTTTACAGCCTCCGATCAACAATACCAACTAGATGTCGGGTCGGCGCAAGAAATCCATCTCAGTAAATAAGAGCGCACATGAGACGTGAGCTCTTGCACGTGAGAGTGTAGCTCGCAAGGCAATAACGGGAAAAAGAACTTTATTTGTTATAACTTAGGGTTGATTTCACACTAAATGTTATTTAATTTATGTCTTTTCATAGTTTATATTCATGCGGACAATATTTAGCTATGATTTTGTACGTGACCCTTGTTGATTTGATCGAAGTTTACAGCTCATCGGGAAGTTATTTTAAAATCAACTATCGGTTCTGACCGATGGGTCCCTTCTTGTTGCCGGCGTCCATCTTGGTGTAGTCAACCTCGTCGTCGGAGTCGTCGATGGCGTCGTCCATCTCGCGCAGGCCGGGGTAGCACTCGGCGTAGCCCTTGGGCTCGGCTGCCAGCCGCGACAGCAGCGCCGCCGACCGCGACTCGCGCTCGGCGCCGCGCTCCGCTCGCTCGCCCCTCTCCCCGCGCTCCCCGCGCACCGCACCTGCACGAACAGATACAATGAGATCAAGACCACCAGAGCGCAGCTGCTTAGAAACGACGTGAAATATTAGACAAATTACATGTCGACCAAGTAATTTTTTTAGAAAACTGTAGAGATTAAAGTTTTCATCTGAAATATTAGATATATTTTATATAAATTATATTGAAAATTACTAAATTAAACTACGGATATACCTAAAAGTAGAAGGATTAAACATGTGAAAATAATTAAATAACACGCTAGAAACTTAAATGGCAACTTTTTAACGATGATAACACTGTGTGAACATCTGTGAAACAAGTATGTTGACTGTAGACAGAGAAACCTATAGACAAATTGACGCCTTCTTTCGCATTCGCACACGAAAAAGATAGATTTATGCACACGTCTTGCATAGAAATGAGACAGAGCGGTGTGATTATTTGTCCCTTTCTCCGTGCCGGTTTTTTGTTTAGCAAACTACACCTTGCTAAACAACTTTGACACGTTCTAAGGAGTTTACAAATTGGTTTAAGTGAGAAAAAAGTGTTTTGTGAGCTTAAGATAGGTGAATCTTGTTCAGTTCAGTTCCTAGAATAATTAAAATTTTTATCTAAATATGTTTAAAAGTCATAAAGATTATTGTATAATCTAAAACTACGTTATCGTCCTTTCTCATTCGAGGCCACGCTAATCATTAATCTATAGGTTTCTCTGTCTACGATGTTGACCTTAGATCCAGTAATAACTAGTGACATCTGGTGAACGTAAAATTATTAGCCCTCAATTAAATATAATTTGACCAACGACAGATTACTAATATTATTGGTAATAGTTTGAAGTATATTTTAATACGAATAATTAATAAAAACTAAAAACCGACTAACCGAAAATAAATTATACTTAAGGGGTAGTCCTGTATAAATTTAGCAAAAAAAATCTATATCTAAGAGTGACAAAATTAGGCATGAAATTATTAATGAAACTATTTAGACACTGAAATTGTGGTATTCCTTAATTCACTCAAAAGGGTAAAAATTAAAAAAGTTAAATGGTCAAATTATTTATTGATAGTATCAACTGTGTGCCAAATCGATTGAGAAAAACGGACAATGAGCCGAGTGCCAAAAGGCGTCAGTTCGTTCTAAGAGAAATGTGACAATGGCAGCCAGAGATGCGTCAACTTTTTTTTGGCCGGTCCGCATGCACCCAATAAAAATAAAGTTCTTATATAATATTGAAAATAAAGTTTTATCTTTTGAATAAATACGTACTTATTCGGTGTCGTTATCACTCGAATATTTATATGTGTTATAAATTAATGCTTTTTGTTGTTAAATGAATAAAGTACTTTATAACAATAGATGATTTTTTTTCTACAGCGATCTTTTACATAACTTTTTAATAATAGTTAATAAATATATATTACATCAATCATTATAAAAAATAATAAAGACTTGAAGAAAGTACTACATATAAAATGTGCCTATATATTGAAGGTTTGTAAGCCCTGCTTAAACGACCGAAAGGTCATTGTCCGTTTTTCTCAATCGATTTGGCACATACTATATATACCCAATTGCATGCACTATCAACGACACCACTAATCTAAGTATTTTGCACCTATAATACAAAAGGTTTTCCGGAAAGTAAGGCAAAATTCTGTTAATTATCATAAGAAATACTGATCACCTTCATCTTTTTCAGTCTCGAGGGGTTTATCAAAGTAGCCCGTGAGCGGGCGTTCGTCGCGTCGGTCGGCACGTCGTTCGCCCGCCACATAGTCACCGATCTCACCATAAATAGAGTCGTCATTACGACCCTTTTCCGTCGTTTTGTCCTGGTAACAAAGATAATTTTACTGTATAAAACAATCGATTCTAATTTTAACTTAATTTTAAAATACACATTGATATATCCTAAGGCATTATACAAGGTTCTACTGCATTGCCTTAATAACGGAATCGATAATAATGTCACTACAATAATAATAAAATATGACCACGTTTTAATATTGTTTGGTTTTTAATACACACACTTCGAATCTTTTTTTTATAAAGCATAGGGTGACAAATGAGCATACAGTCCACTTGATGGTAAATGGATGCTGTGGCACATAGACATCTACATTTATCCTGAATTAAGATTCAAAATACAAGTGTTATCACCCCTAAGGACTAAGATGGAATGCCTTGATTCTGGTAAAAAGGGTCTCCGGTTCTCTACACTCACCATACGAAACACAGCAGCATTATACTGCTATATCACGCTGGTATTCTGTGAGAGCGTGCTCCTGCTCCAGTCATTCGTGCTACAACTATAATATATCTGCAGCGTGGCTCTATCAGGTAAAAAATCTCTTACTAAATCATACTGTTTGTAATCCTAATGTGGCCGTGGAAGAAAAATGGGAGATCTCCCGCCGGGCAAGGTGTTGTGCCCGGGGAGCGGCCAACGCTCCATGTGATAGTTCGGAGATGTTCTATATATACTGTTTCTGATTCGGAATGTTAATAGCGCGATTTAGCCTTCGGTGTGTTTCGGTGTGCTAGTGGCGCGACGACAGCGCCGCTACATCACCCCCTGCTCAGACCGGAGGTCGATAGTGCAGCCTCGTTGCCGACGAATGTGCAAAGTGCCAGGAGATTATCTTGTAGTCGGCGGTGAGTCGAGAAGAAGGCAAGTAATCTGCGAGAGTGCCGTGAAGCAGAGGCGAGCAGTAGCTTGAAGGAACAGGAAGCATTATTATTCCAGTGCTGCGATGAACCTTGTGAAGCTAGATGGCTTGCAGGATATGAAGACTGCAGACGATATCTACTCGGGAGCGAATGGGTGTGGTATTTTATGACGATGATGAAGCTTGAAGTTTCCGAAGGTTGTAGGTTGCGTGATCAGATCACGTCGGGGTCACCACTGTGGCCGTAGAAAGAAAAGGGGAGATCTCCCGCCGGGCAAGGTGTTCTGCCCGGGGAGCGGCCAACACTCCGAGTGATAGTTCTGAGATGTTCTATATATACTGTTTCTGATTCGGAATGTTAATAGCGCGATTTAGCCTTCGGTGTGTTTCGGTGTGCTAGTGGCGCGACGACAGCGCCGCTACACTAATTTGACTTTCAAACCCGGCAAACAACAGCTCATAAATATTAATAATCATTCCACATGATGACGATATTAAATTACGGTTAAGCGTTATCAGTGCCGTTTGTTACATTTAAATATTGTTAATGCAGTGATCATTTTTGATAAATTAAAAATTCACTTCTTAGAATAATCTTAACAAGTATATTAGCGCCACCTAATAAAAAGAAAAAAGAGTATCATCTAATCGCGGACTGCTGTAGATTTCCGTGCTGATATTTACAAATTGACGGTAATAAGTCTTTAAACGTCCTTATATAGTAGGAAGCAATTCAGAAAACGAATAATAACAAAATCGAGGAATACAGTACAACTACAGATCTGTCATTTCCATCAAAAATTTCACTCAATTGTGCCACGTAATAGGGTATTTTACTCATTTTCGAAAATTGTTTTAAATGAATCCTAGAGTGATAATGAACCACTATTATTTTTATATAATTTTATTAAAACTGATAATGCCATAAAAATTACGTAAATAACGGTCACACTAAATCTGTAAAGTCAAAACAAACTGAAATGGACCGTAACTTAAGGCAATAAGACTTTTAAGAGTGCAGTTTTATTTGTATTATTACTAATTCTGTCATTCAATAAAAATAGAATCAATAAAAATGAGCTTTATTTCAAGCACATTAAAGTCTTTGCGTTCGTGGATTTGTACTGTGACCACAACATTCTTCCGGAATTAGTATAACTAATTTGATAAATAATCAGTGCATAAAAATGTTTAACTAAAAATTCGAGTGCACGTATTATGATTATAACATAATATACTAATTGGGGTGTCTGGTGTGTGCGTTAATTACGTTACATATTGTATAAGCACTGACTTATAATAAAGTATTAATAATATCGAGGTGTGGTTGTGTCTTGAACACTACTGTGTGAATACGTACGTAACGAAACTATCGCAGAAGACCAGCGTGAAAAGCGAAAAAGTTGACGCATCTCTTACTTTCACTCAAAAGGGTAAAAATTAAAAAAGTTAAATGCTCAAATTATTTATTGATAGTATCAACTATGTGCCAACTCGATTGAGAAAAACGGACAATGACCTCAGATATGAGCCGAGTGTCAAAAGGCGTCAGTTCGTTCTAAGAGAAATGTGACAATGGCAACCAGAGATGAGACACTCTCACCTGTTATTGTGTTTTTGTGTAACAAGTTGGTAATAGGTTGATAAGTCAGCAGAACAAAAATTGCGATTGCATGCAAAAACTTTTGCCACCATCAATTTATTTATTTTTGATAGATTAGTACTTTCTGCTTTTACGAATTCGTCTTCCATGATGCCTTTTCAATAAAATTCGTAATAAAACTCAATAATCGAAATGATAACTTGAAAATTTTCAAAATAAGACAGCACGTTAGCTAGTTCTCTTAATCAGTGAAACAGAACATTAATATTCTTACGGCATTCAGTGACGTCATGAGATGACTAATATGGCGGACACCGTTTTACAGATTTAAGGCACAGACGAAAAAAATATTCTTAAAATTGAAATATAAACTTTATAATGCAATTTTATAAACAGAAATCTATATTTCTCGTTTACTTTTACAAAATCTATCATAAAGATATATTTTTTGATTTCATTTTACATGGTGTAAAATACCCTATTGTGAGGGAGGAGCGCCGTTGTTTTGAGATTTTTTTTATAGGAGAGGGGCAAACGAGCATACGGCTCACCTGATGGTAAGTGACTACCGCCGCCCATGAACAACTGCAACACCAAGGGAATTACCGATGCGTTGCCAGCCATTTAAAAAGGAGAAGGCTCTTTTCTTGAAGGTCCCTAAGTCGTATCAGTCCGGAAATATCTCTGGTGGTTGTCGATTCCACAAGTTGTGCTAGGAAGAAAAACTCCGCTATTATATTAAGGGGGAGGGGGGAGGGGGAATTGGGCCTCCGGTCACCTGCACTCACCAGACCAAACGCAGAAGCAGAGCTTCTACTTCACGCTGGTCTTCTGCGATAGTTTCGTTACGTACGTTTTCACTCAGTAGTGTTCAAGACACAACCACACCTCGATATTATTAATACTTTATCATAAGTCAGTGCTTATACAATATGTAACGTAATTAACGCACACACCAGACACCCCAATTAGTATATTATGTTATAATCATAATACATACTCTGAATTTTTAGTTAAACATTTTTATGCACTGATTATCAAATTAGTTATACTAATTCCAGAAGAATGTTGTGGTCACAGTACAAATCCACGATCGCAAAGACTTTAATGTGCTTGAAATAAAGTTAATTTTTCTTGGTTCTATTTTTATTGAATGACAGAATTAGTAATAATACAAATAAAACTGCACTCTTAAAAGTCTTATTGCCTTAAGTTACGGTCCATTTCAGTTTGTTTTGACTGTACAGATTTAGTGTGACTGTAATTTAAGTAGTTTTAATTATTTTTGGGATAAAAAATTACCTATATTAAAATGATAGGAATCGATTCAGTAAACGATTCTGAACAAACTACTTTCTCAGTGCGTTAATTATGTTACGTGTTGTATACAATATCTTATAGGTTCGTTTTTTTTTTTTCAATTTTCTATGTTTCCTATGACGCAAATAAGAGAATATCTGCGCCAATTTGTCCAGTACGACATCGTTGGCCGCGGCTGCAGAACTTCTCTCGCCAACTCGGGCACATCGGTCTTACTGCGAGTTAGAGTGGTCGGGATATCACTGTCTATTGTCCCCTCTTCCTCCAATTCGACAACGTACGCCATACGACCCGGCGCGAATAACTCACTGCGGGTCACTTCCTTGTTCCTGATAAATGAAAATTAATTTTAATGTAAATAGAACCAATATTATGGTCTATCTGGATAGATATACTGTAATAAGTAGATCCTATGCAATCTATGCAAGCTTTGTGTCTAAAGCTTTTGTAGTTTTAGCGTTGCGTGCCAAAATTAGCATTATACTCACGTTAGTTACGTTGCATCAAAAATGGTCAGCTCGACTGGGAAGAACTACGCTCACAGAATACCAGCGTATAATAAATATACTACAGCTGTATTCCGTTGTATTTTGTATGGTGAGAGTCATATAATACTATAATACATACATAATAGAACGGGGGAGTGGGCGGAGCCCGCGTAGCCACTAAGATGTCACTAACACGTCAATTCACACGTATAAATGTCAACACGAGATGTGTTTTGACGTTACAATCGTTTCCAAATTTCGCATGCAAATTATTTAAAAAATGCTAAATTGCACCCTATTTACAAATAAATATGTATTAAAATTTAAACGATTTTTTTAATGATGATCTTGAACATTAATCAAAAGTCTAAAATGTGTAAATTTATTCAGTCTGTCAACACAGCTAATCGGGTTTGGCAACGCCAAACCTCGTACAAAATAAAGTTGACAGCCATTCTATTGTGTATTATAGTATTCTATGGTGAGAGTAGAGAACCGGACTCTTTTAACTAGAAATGAGGCATTCCATTTTAGCTCTCAGGGATGAAAACTCATCAGTATTTCGATGCTTAATCGAAGATATATGTAGAAGTCTATGGTCACAGCATGCACTGGACGAGCAAATAGTCTACCTGAAGGTAAGTGGACTTCTACATTTATCCTCGATTAAGTATCAAAATGCAGATGCATTGTCACCCCTGAGGACTGAGTACTACTGTACTACTGGTATTCTGTGAGGGCGTTGTCCTACC